TCAATAATGAATTTTTCAAAGATGATAAAACACATTTTCTCATACATTCACACCATCAGCAGTTTTGGGGGTGTTGAACCCATGATCTCCGGCACATAATTGCCAACTCGAATCACAACCGGATCACATCTAAAAAAGAAATGCCTTGACTGAGCGAATGGTGGAAAATAAAGAGTAGTGGCGCAGGGAATAAAGCAATGTGAGGCTACGTTTAACAAAACAGATATTGGTGATAACAATAAAGAAATAATACAAAGCCAGCCAATCAACAGGAGGTTGAAAAGACAAAGCAGAGAGGAGGCAGTGGTGGATGACATTATGGCCTGATTCATTTTGGACCATTGTGCAGGGAACACATGAAATAAATTAGGAAAGAGAGGTTGAAAGGGAGGGAAGGAAAGCTACAAGAATTGTTTGGATGTTTGCATGCTTGGGTGATGATGTTTATGCATGCACAAATACAGCACTCACACAGTTCCAGGCAAATGTTAAGTGCCCACGGTGATTAATGCTGTTCTGCTAACCAGTGCAACGTGCTGTAAATCAGTGTCAAGACTTCCATAACAATACACTTGAAGCTTGAGTTTCTGATGTTAAGTACAACAACCTCTTTTACTAAGAGAATAGTCCAAGTAAAATAGTATTATAGTATAATAAAATGATTGAAACTATGTCACTATATTTGAAATATAAGAGATGATACATTTTCCCTCTAAGTCCTGCATCAAAATATAAATACAATAATTATTAACGCTAGAACTAATGGCTTTCTGTGACCATATACTTGTACGTATATATTGTGTCATAACTACAGTAGGACTCAAGTCTCTAATTTTAGCATCTTATCAGGAGCCGCTCCAAGTAGTATCTTTAATTAACTTGAAGTTTTTCAGTTGATATAACATGATTATTCTATAGACACAAGAAAATGTAACACTTGGTGTCAACGTCCCCTGGCTTTGGCTATTTCTAATTTGTGATGACAAGCAATAAGAAACCAATCCGATGCACTCTGAGCTCACAGTACTTAAAGTAAAAATAGAATAAATAAAAGGTCAGGTGTAGACTCCCACACTGTCTTTATAATTAGGAGGAATGTATCATTGTGGTAAGTAAGAAATATAACAACCTATCGAAAGCCTTTACGATTCTCTCTTTTAAAAGACAGGAACAAATTAATGTTCCACTCTACACTGTTTTAAGATGAAGTATCTAATTTGCTTCACCATGCATCTGCTAAGAATATAATTTAATTGATTTGGAGGATTTAATAAAGAATTTGGATCAAATCTAATTAGTTCTTAGTGGGTAATTTTGACGCCCGCATCAGCACTCATTCACTGTCTCATAGTTTAAGTAATCATAGTACGCCACGACAGTCTACAATACTTGTAATGATTATTGGTGTATTTAATTGAGGATTCACAATTAAACTATGACAATAGAGAAGAAATAAAAAGGGATTGCTGCATCACGATGTTTGAAACCAATTTTCTCCGACTGGATTTGTAGCTGAGAATTGTTTTTGACAGGGATGAAAATACTTTTGAAATTAGCTATCTTCTTTCAGTATCGCAAAATCAGTTTTTCATCTTAATTTAAATCAGATTTTAATACAAAGCTCTTTTGCCCAGCACTTTGAACTGTGTTCCTTTAAATTGAAATCACAGAATATCAGTCAGTACTCACTTTGTAACTTTAAATGCGAGATGAAACATGAGATATCAGGATTAAACGTTTTCTCCTTTCTCCAGTTATTGCAAAAATAAAACTCGCTCAAGAGCTTCAAAAGCGAGGGAAGAAGAAATAAATGGAAGCAAGGGAAAGATCAAAATACGCTGAGGTAGATGAAAGAACACAGCTGAAGATTTATTACAGAAAGATTGCAAAGGAAAATGAAATGAGAAAGAAACAGCAACAAGAATCAAGAGATGCCAGCGGGCTTTGGCATCTGAAGTGAGGGCTCTCATGTCACTGTAGAGACTGAGCGAGCGAGAGGAACACAGAGAAGGTAATAGTGGAGGGTACACAGTAGCCTCTGGCACGCATAATGAAAAGGTCAAGGAAACTTGATGGAGGTTTAAGACAGACACTCGAAACACAGCAGAGGTTTCATAGATTAAGTTAGGGACCAAGAAAGAGAGGGGTGGTACATTTACAGTATTGGTATAAAGTCATTGGGTGAACAATTGAGTATTGGGTACCAGGTTGGGATTACATGCACTCCTGTAATACATGCAATTCATTTGCTCGTGCTTTGGTATGAACATACTTTATTTGCATTGTCAGTTAGAATAGATAAGACTTAAAATAGATGGATCATTCATAAATACAACCGTGCCTTTTCATATGTATTTAATTCCACATATTGAGGAAGGCTCCGACTGAAATGTACAACATCTTTTAAACCTTTATTGTGTTCAGGCACTGTCTGTCTATAAACCTTGAATCCAAAGAACACCTTCAAGTGTCTGGTATTTACTTGGACTTAATTTAAAATTCAAGACATCTAACAATCTCGATGTCAGGAGTACATGTGAAGAGTTTTCTAAGATAAAAGACTTATCTACTGTAAACCTCTGAGCCCACAAGTCTTTGATGTCTGTATGGCATGTAAGGAAAAGCGATATAATGAAGGCTTTCTTTGTTTCGACATAAATTATCAGAAGATCTAAAGGCAATAAGAAAAAATATATAAGTTAAAGAAGACATATCATGCTTATTTCAGGTTCAAACGTATATTTTGGGTTTCTAGAAGAACATGTTTACATGCTTTGATGTTCAAAAAATACATTATTTTCTTATTCTGTATGCATGACCGTGTTGACCCTCTGTCTGAAACTCTCTACGGTCTCTTTGAGCCCCCCTCCGAAAAAGCCCACTCTGATTGACTTGTGAGAAAAATATAGCATCTCTAGGTAGCCCACAGTCATTTCATTCAGAATACAGATTCATGTGCACATTTTCAAACACAACTTCAGTAAATCATATGTTAAATAGTTTGATATAAAAAGCACCAATCAAAATACTTTATAGATGATTTTCATCTAACCATGTGACCTTATCATATACTATAAAAAGACATGTGGATAACACGGTTAAGCCAGTCTTTTTGTCTCGTCCATTCACCCTTTTTTCATATTGCGCATAAAAGCATTTAGAGAAAGTAGCTTGGGAAAAAAGCACTTCACAGATAAGGTGACGGAGAATGGATGCTGGAGTGTGACGGATGGGCGGAGAAGCACACAGTTTGAAAGAGACTCTCAAAAATGACCTTTTTGCTCTTTCTCCTCGCATTGCACAAGCCTATAATTTTCTGTCTCCAACCTTTGCTGCGAATCAATGCAGCCGGCAAAAATCTAGCTTCGGGTTCAGAGGATTCATTTAAAATGTGGTCTTTGATGCCCGTACTTTCCAAAATGATTACTTCAAAGACAAGACATTAACTTGCAAATGATTATACCATTTATTAATTTAACAATTAGTCTGGGAATGAAGGGCACTCATTACATGTAGGCTATTGGCCTCAAAACCACAGTGTAAAAAAGTCTAATTCTTAGTTCAAACCTTATTATTTTGACATTAACATGATGAGTTAGGGTCACACTGAATGCTTTCACAGAATAATGATGTAAGTTTGGAGAGCTGAGAAAGAAATATGTTTTCAATTTAGAAGCAGAAATGTTAGTAATCAGGCAGCTATTGTACGTGTTACCAAACCCAACAATTGTCTGTGCTGTGCTAGCCAGATGATTTTGCAGTCAGTGAATCTATAAATAAGTAAGTATGTTTTTGCCCATTACAAACCCAATTGTACATGCAACACAGGCACTTTATGACCGTGGTTTGAAGTTTGAGTGCTCTCTAATATCGTAGACATACAGAATTTGATCTATGTTCTTATTTCTGTCAAACTATATTAAAGTGGCACAAGAGACTTATAGATTAAACCAAATGGGTATATTGATTTAAACTTGCTTTGAAAGTTTTCCATAACTTAAGAGTACATATCATAGTACTGTAGTTAAGTTTGGCTTTTTACTTTACAGCATAATATGGCTTGTGAACCTAAACGCAGGGTAGTTCTGACGGTCCCGTTACACACACACTTTGCTGGATTAAGCATACATTAAACAGAGAGTTAAGATATTTTAAAGAGGCCTTATTATATCATTTTGGGGGTTTCTCTTTCCTGTAGCTTGGTATTTTTTTGTGCATGTAAATGGTCTGCAAAGGCGGAAATCCCTGAGTTCTCTCCAGAGGACGTTTTTCTCCCACACACAACACATCGAAGCGATTGACCAATCACAACAGAGCCAGCCAGCTAACCAATCAGAGCAGACTGGACTCTTGTTTCAGACAGAGGAGTTTCTATAGATGAACAAACAGTTTTTTACTTTTAATCTAAAGGATTTGTGATATCCTACCCAACAACACACCACCAAACTTTGAACTCAGCATGAGTCTAATAAGCCAGAATGATTGAACACACCTATCTGTGCACTATCTTTAAAATAGAGGTACTATTACGAACGTTTGAACGTTCCTTAAAGTACTATACTACCTTGTTGTTCTAGCGACTTATTATTACCTACTTGAGAAGCCAAAATAAACTCGTAACGTGAACAAATGATCCGAGGCTGAAGAAAGAACCGCACTTTCAAAGATTTATGTGGTGGGCCATCATTTGTCTCCCTCTTGGGTTTAATTTTAAATTGGGTTACACTGCCACATACTACTGTGTTGTTGTCTATTACCTTGAGCTATTTGCAATGTTTTATAGGTAGCCTTGTGCAGGCTTAAAATATCTGAAAGGGGAACGGCCGAAGGTACTAAGTGCACTATGACTGTATACGACAAAATGCACATGGGTAAAGTGCAATTCCACAATAAAGTGGTCCTGAGTTGATCACCTCAGCCCTCCTTTACAGCAACATGTCAGCACAAACAAGATTTACTTTGTCAACGAGTAACTACTGTTTCTGTCCTCCATTTTTCAGAAATCTGCTGGATAAAGACACATTCTCCAAGTCGGATCCATGTAAGTACAATATACACTCCGTTTGAATGTCTGTGCTCTTCTGTCCAGGTACTTTCATCTGTAAAAGTACAGCCTTCTGTCCTTCTCCAATTTTGTTTTCCCCCTTTTCTCACTCTGTTATCTTTTGGATATATTGCCCTGTGATTTGGGAAATCTTTGTTGTGTTGTTTGTTCACTGTAGTGGAGCTAAAACCCTCACATAGATTTCCAATTTGGAATCTGACTGCATTTCTCTGATTGTCCCTCTCCCCTTTTCCTTCTCTTTAACCCTCCTTTTATTCACAATATTGCATTTCTTTCTGCCTCTATCTGGTTCCTTTTTACAGTATGCGTGCTCTATACGCAAGGTGTTGAAACCAAACAGTGGAGAGAGGTGAGTGTACACAACCAAATGCACACGCATGCACAAACACACACTAATAGAATGAAATTGCTTATGTCCAATTAAGTTCCCGCTGTGCTCACTGTGTGTTTATTATGATTGTGTGTCGTGTGAAGACATTTCAATTCTTTCATTGTTTCCTTTGACTGAGAGCATGCAGCAGTCGGGTTTAACACTTCATTAAAAGGTGTTCAGCCATCAGTTGTCCAAAGATACCAGGGAAATATTCTCTAATTGGAGGCTTCAGCCAACAAAGAAGCCTCACAGTGTCATGATCAATATGTTGACGCTGTGAGATCCAAACACATGCTGGGATGGCTTTACCTAAACATTACCTGAGCCTTTATTCAGAACACTTTGCTCTTTTCCCTCTCTATTTCTTAATATTACCTTCACTTACTCACTATTCACTCAATTGTTAAACATTTGTTTTGTCCACAATTCTCGATAAAGACCAAATCTACAATTAATTTATACATAGTCACATTTTTGTCTTGAGTCTATTAATTCTCATCCTACCAAATAAAGTCCCTGCAGATCCCAGAGACGTAATTCTCGGTCATATCTCACAGGTTTTCTATATTTAATATTTATAATTTTTCATGATTTTGTCAATCCATTTGTTCATTATGATTAGGGGTTGAAAACTGTAAAGTTTATTTTGCTTTGCGTAATGTTTTCCATTAACCACAGTGGCCAGCTGTTTGAGGAAATAACCTTTTAAAATATGTATCTATATATTTTAAGGATTTCTGTTGGGAAGTCTGAAAGCATTGTGAGACCGTATGATTATTTTAGTCTTTCTCCACTTATACGATGAGAAAGTTAAAATGTGACATTTCTGATAAATGAGAGTGGCGACACTACATAGATAGACTACGTATAGATTTAGTGTCCCAAAGTGTGAAATGCTGCCACTGCGCAGCGATTGTTCTGGTCAGAAAGTACTTGCTGTTTTTTGTTAACTGGGATAACAATTTCACACGTAGAGAATGAAAAAGATCATGATAAATATCCAGAGAGGGATTTTTTGCTTTGTTCGCCTATGACCCTTCATGCATCAATAAATAATGGCATTTCTGAACAATTGTTTTTTTTTTCAAACTGCTGTTTTTTTTCTGTGTATCCCTGCAAATATCTCTTTGAGTGTGTTAAAGTCAAAATATTATTATGTGCATGCTTATGCATTCCCCTAACAGAGAGGTTGTATTGGATGTCAGCCCCCATATTTGACATCTTTATTCACCCCATGCAAATTGTCAATGCATCTTCTGTAATTGTTAGAGATATTATTTATACAGTCCTGACCTGCTGTGGATGTTTAATGGATCATCGTGCACTGGGATTCATGTATATTTATACAGTCAGATGACCCTCATCTCCTGCTTGTGTGTTTACCAGTCGAAGCAGATGGCTGTGTGGGTTTTGCTGAAATCTAGCTGAGGGACTGAGAAGGATGATGTTGTGAATGTGTGAAAATGCGTTAGCATATGTGTATATTCCTAAAGCATGGGCGTACACATACAGTATGTAAAGATCTTTACATCAGTAAACTCTCTTTCGCACTTCTTACGAAATAGACTTTTTTTTTGGCAGACAACTACCAAGTATAAGACAATATGTTAATCCAATCAACAAGAAATAATTCATAAAATGAGCATTTAACTTTAGTGTACTTTCTTACTATATATTCTTCTTGATGTTTGAAGCACTGGAGATAAACTATGACAGCCATAATAATGGTGCTGTGTGTTGATGTGGCTCCAGGTTATGAGAACACTCCCAAAACTCAGACTGAACAATCAAAGCCCAAAAGGTGACTCATCCGTGACTGCTTAATAACATTTTCTGACAGGACCCTCCAGCGTACCCTTCAGGTTTGGGTCACATTTGATAAGGATTTACACCTCGATCAGTTTTTGTTGTGTGTCATGTAAATGCACTATTTGTTCTCTGTGAGGTCGTTACTTGATATTTTCTGCAGTATACAAGATCACAGGACCAAATCATCTGTGGTTTTCAACATTTTGGTTGCACATGATCATCTGTGCTGTAAGGCTTTTTACTCTAGATGAGGTTAGAACAAATTCTTCTAGGGGAATTTTATTCTATATATATAAAAAATAAGTGTCCTGGTCCAGGGGCTTAACTGTGTAAAGTGAAAGGGTAACACTTTATTTTGATAGTCTATAGTTAACACTCTATAAGTCATCAGTTGACATCTAGTAGCATGTCAACAGCGTATTAACCAATATTCAACCTTACTGTCTGTAGATTGTGTCAACATCTTCAAAATTGAAAATCAACTACTCAAAATCCATCTGTCAGTTGAAAGTCAACAGGGTCATGTCGACTATCTATTGATAACCTGTTGAGAGTCAAGATGTCAACTAAAGATTACATTAAGCATTAGTTGATGATCAACAGATAAGCAACTTTAGAGTTTAGTTGACTATCTGTTGATCGTCAACTAATCTAGAGTTGACAACTAAAGATTACATTAAGCATTAGTTGATGATCAACAGATAGTCGACATGACCCTGTTGACTTTCAAGTGACAGATTGATTTTGTTGATTGTCAATTTTGAAGATGTTGACACAATCTACAGATTAGATAAGGTTGAATATCGGTTAATAACTTGTTGTAAAAAACATGTTGACAGTCAACAGACACTTTTTGTAAAATCTATAGATCAACACTTGAGATGTACCTATTCTAATGGCAGTTAGTTAAATGCATGTTGTCTGTTGAAACAGTGTTGTTGAATGTCAACTGAATGACTTATAGAGTGTTAACTATGGACTATCAAAATAAAGTGTTACCAGTGAGGGTTGTTAAAGGGGTAAAACAAGCTCTATATGACATTTAATTTATCCGTTTTTGTGTATAATACTTCATATATTGACGAATTTCTTATGTATAAGAAGATTACCCACAATTATTATTCTGTCATTTTATTATTCCCACAAACTGAGTGAAATGCTAAGTGCACGCTAAGAAAAACAGACCTGGATGAACACACAAACCTGTCTACAAACAAGTTATAAACATTACTGTCCTTCTACACTACTGGCTGTCAAATATGGGTGAATGGCAAAAAAAAAGCTCACTCAGGACACATCCTATCCTGAATAGACTGTATATGTCTCTAAAGCTTTGGCATTCAGAAGAATGAATGAAACCAAAAGCGAAATAGGGCAGAAAACCTTTGGGAATAGTAAAGCCAATGCAGAAATGACCTAAATGATGGGTTCTCTCCAATGGCCAGAAGGAGGTGACTGGTTTCAAAAAGAATACAAAATGCGTCTATGAGAAAATGACCCTACTTGTCACTTGATTATTGTATCATTACCACCATTAATTATTTAGCTAACTTTTATCACAATCGACTTACATACACTCAATCTCGTAGACATTCCTATGGGAGCAAGTTGGACATGTTATCAGGTGGGAAAGGAAAACTCTAAAAGAAATGTTTTTAATGATCGTCTGAAGAGACAGAGCAAGAGGAGGTTGATGGTGGGAACAGTGGCTTCATTAAGATGTGACACAGCTGACCTTTTCATCTTTTCGCACTGTCTAATGTGTCTCTGACGTCACATGCTGTGCTGTTGGTGTTCTCTGTCTCTACAAGGCAATGCATTGATTTAACTAGAGTCCAGAATGTTGATGGCATTTGCATATTTTTTTATACGAGGTAATTGTGTATCATGATATTACAAACGTTAGACAATTCTATTGGAAGATAATACAATTATAATATTGAATTATCGTCTAGCTCTGGTCCACTCTAATCCACACTATCGTCACGGATCTCTCTCTGTCAGAACAAAGGACTATAAGCTCATTATATCAGCACACATATTACAGTCTGCTTAACATGCTTCAAGGGAAGGAAAATCCTTTTTGGCCAAAGAGCTACAGGACATTCATTCAGAAAAAATCCCCAGGGGTGTTTCGTGTGTGTCCTAGGGGAAAAGATGATAAAATCTTTGTCAAGTTTGGCACAAAAACCCACAAAATAATGAAGAACTAGATATTTCCTGTTGGTGCCTTTATGTTTACACCATTCACCAACAGTGTGTGTGTAGGTGAGTTTCTTCTGTCTTTGTCTATGTTTTGGGACATTCACATTGCAATATAAGACGCTGCTGGTGTCCCCAGTAGTTGTTGCTAGCCTGATGAGTTCAATTTGCCATGTGTTAGCTGCTCTGCATGTGTGTGTGTGTGTGTGTGTGTGTGTGTGTGTGTGTGTGTGTGTGTGTGTGTGTGTGTGTGTGTGTGTGTGTGTGTGTGTGTGTGTGCCTGTGTTCGAGAAAGAGAGAGAGAGTGTGTGTGTGTGTGTGTGTGTGTGTGTGTGTGTGTGTGTGTGTGTGTGTGTTGAGGGTGCGGGTCAGGGACTTCATACCAGATTCTCATTAGACAGCTCCAGCAGCCCAGCAGTATCTAATGAACTCCGCAGCACGGTATTGTCTCTTCCACTCAGCAGGGAAAATCACATTATGGAGCTCATCTTCGCTTTCACCCACCTCTTTACTAACATGTGCTCACAGCCTCATCAACACCTCCGGGTCTCTTCGAAAGAATGGGTGGCTCACAGATTGAACATCAGTGTCCTTTTCTCTACTGTTCTCCCTCACTCTGTTAAATTTAGATGTTCAGTCAGTGAGTTCACACGGAGAAAAATAGAACCTTAAAAGTTCAGAGAGGAGTTCAACACTGTAACAATACAGAAGTGTGTTGTTTTAGAGCACTTTGGTGACTTAATTGCCCACAGTCTATTGTATGTGTTGCTTTTTCTGTATTGATTGACTTGACTTGGTTACCACGCACATCCGCCTATAATGTGCAGTACCTGCTGTCCACATTATGGAACAACAACATCGACTCTTACTTGCAAATTACTTACTTGACATTGATTTAAATGGAAGTTTGGCAGCTTTCCAATAAAACAGGCCATGTTTGGCAGGAACACACTTGTTGTTTTAGTGCAGTCGTATGATATCCATCTTTATTGCACACTGCAAGAGAGACACAGAATGGCTAAACTCTGAGTCCAATTAGTGCCTGAATTGAATTACCACTTCATCAGTTTTAACAAAATAAATGAAGGAATAACATGAAGATTAATTTGATAAAGATAATTATGATAAACAACAAATTCAAATCTCACCAAGTCTTGATGACTGAAATCAAGAGTTGTTTGTTACTTTTCTTGAAATAAAAATAAATGTGCACATGCTGTGCAGTAGGGAAATTATATTTGATGAGTAATCAAAGATGGAATATCAGCTGTCCCCCCTGAATGAAATTATGATATGTCATATCTCACAGTCCAATTCACAAAAGGTATAACTCTGCAAAAGCCCCTATATTGCCTTGCACCACAAACACAATGGTGAAATAAAAAGACAACATTTCCGGACTGCTTAACCATTAATAGGTAGAGACATTCTTCATAAATTCATTTTAGGAATTCAAGCTTAACAATAAAATTCCCATTTAGAATTGAATACCCCCTTAAGACTGTGTCCTTCAGTTAATACAAACGCTCTGAAGACACTAATCATTTGCAATGAGGACAGGAGCCATTTTTGCAACAAAAACGTGCATATTATTAATAGTTTGTAGTGCATTTAACAATTTGAGTGTGTTTTTAGAGCTTAATGCTTTTTTTCATCTTATACAGTAAGTGCAGGTTTCACATCTGCAAAAGCTGCACCATACTTTGGTGGATTTGATAGTTGGTGGTCGCCCTGTGTCAAATTCAAGGCATCATTATTTTGGTTAATATTTTGCTCAGTGGGTTCATGTTCCTAGATGATTATCACACTGAGTACCTTGGGCTACTTAATGCTCTCTGTGAGCGATACAGTTTTTAAAATAAGCCATTCAAAGTCTTAGAATTAGTCAAGGAAGAATTGAGGAACCATATCAATACCGTACTAATGTTGACTTCCTCCTTGTGTTCACCAACTGCTACCATCTGAAATCTTCTAATTTGGAGTACTTGATTAAAAAGTGTTATTCCAGGAAGCTTCCAAAGAATAATGTATGTATTTTTTCTTATATTGGAAACTCTTCATTGGCTTTCTGTGCAGTATAGGCATTTGGCATTGCTGTATCTTTGCAGGCCATTTCTCTGGCATCATTTCCTGCACTTGGCACTTCAGGAGTGAAAATCCCACTAATGAGGATGCCTTAATCTCTTCATTTCTCCCCCTCTCCCTTCCCACTCTTTTCCCACTCCCACTCTCCTCCCTCTTTATCTGTAGGAACCCTCCACTTCACTTTTACCTTTTTTTCTATATAAATCTTCTTTGTTTTTTTTATCCTTCTCTTTTCTCTCAAAGTAGATTCTCTCCGTCTCTTTCTACACCTTTTCATCTCCTCTTGCTTTATCTCGGTCTCTCTGTGGGGTTGATGAGTGAGTTATCATGCTGTAATTAATGTGGCAGAGGAGCGAGGATCAAGGAAAGAAATCCCTGTCTTCCTCTGCAAAGCAGCGGCGTGTGAAAGTGCCTCCATCAATCAGGCGTCTGTGCATGCATGCATGATAAGTGAGAGTCTGACATAGAGAAATCACAAGCGGGAAACAAATAAAGTGGAAGGCGACAAAAAGCACTAAATGTATTTGTTTATTAAATTGGGTTTTGCTGTTTTCCTTTCGTCATTTTTCTCCACCCAACTCTATCCGTCTTTCTATTTTCACAGTTTGGAAGAACAGAAGTGATAGACAACACCTTGAACCCAGACTTTGTTCGAAAGTACATCTTGGACTACTTTTTTGAGGAGAAGCAAAACCTTCGCTTCGACTTGTGAGTGATTTCCTTTGAAGTCGTATCAGCATTGTATCTCCTCTCCTGCCCTTTTTCTTCTTTCACTGTGATATATTTGTCTCTCTAATTGAGAGCCGTGCAATTAAAGTCAAATTAAATGAAGAAGAAATATTGTATCGCTGTACAGCTTGTCCAAGTATATTGTTTAAAATAAGCATCAAAACCATCCAAGTTGGTCGAAGGCAATGCTACTGTAGGGTAAAAAACGTTCCTCAAACTCCTAAATAATGTTCTTTCATCAACATCGCATGCAATCAAGAAATCTCCATACCTTTAGCTAGACACAGTTGTGACTTTAGCTCAAATCAGCATGTTTTGGCCTGAAATGAGAAGCATGCTTTTGTTTAAAATAATGACAAAAATGTAATGTGAAAATGTACCAAAGTTATTTGTAGCCTGCGTGCTGTGTGAGATATAAAAGCTTGACAGGCTTGACAATAACAATGAGGTGGGATGTTTTTTTTAAAACCAGTAAAATGTTCATCCTGACAGATGTGTTGTGACATATATGCGACTTTCATATTCATTAGAGCCAATTGAAAGTTTGGAACTAGCAGTTTCTCTGTCTCTCATTAATTACCTCGTGCAATTACATCTCTTTCTAGAGTATTCATTAATCTTTCATATGTAGCGTGATGGTGGCCAACATGAAGGGTTAACTGCCATCTCTTTACAGACTGAATGAACAGAAACGCTGCCTCAGCACTTGCTGTGGTTAAGCTTTTTCTAGGGATACAAATGTTCTCCATTTGAAATCAAATAAACCATTTTTCTCATAGCTCCTTCAACAGAATGACCCATCGCACAACACTTATATTTCTACAGCTATGGCACACAACGATATAAAAGTAGATGCAATTGGGCCACTCTACAGTCTGTCTTTTGATCGTTTATTCCAATTATAGTGAGAATAACTCATAAACATTGTATTATGTGCAGCTTGAATAATCTCCCGGCAAACAGGATGTATCCTTTCATCGGATGTTTAATCTTGGTACATCACATGTGCTCCGTTTCCTTCACTTTCATAGCTTTGTATTCACATGCAAATACGATCAGGTCCACCACTCATCTTTATGGAAGAGAAAAAAGGGTCTTGTTGAACCCTTGCCCAATTACTCTTCCCTACATATAGTAACATCTAAAAAGATACTACAATCCCATGTTCTTTTTATCTTGGCTCATTCTCATTTTAAGTGTGTGATGTCTAATGTGATGATCCATCTTGTTTTGATCTCTCATGAATCCTCCTACCACTTTACATACACTGCTTTTCAATTTAGCAAATTACATTTTTCTCTCGTTTGTTTTTATCCTGTTATCCATCTTTCCTCATTTTCGTTTTATTGAAATCATACCCATCCCTTCACTAGAGGTTGCAGACATATGATATCCTTAAAGCTAAAACTAAACACACCAACAAAACATCTGAACAACCAAAATACAATAAGTGTGGTCGAAGTATTATTTATGCTGCCAGTGTGCATATCAGCATGGGGTTGTTTTAAATCAAAATGCCCCTACAGTACTTACATAGCGAAAAGTCTGCCTTACAGTTCTATGAGATTCTATTTTTTGATATCAGACAATGATACTACAGATTATTCAATTATTAATTAAATATTTCGTTTTGTTATTGCATTCATTTGTATAGTACTGTATCATGTCTGTATCATCTTTTGTTTTCTTTGGTTTTACACGCTCGAAAATAATAATAAACTAAACTAAGTGTGAAGGGTCCATCCTCTGGGGAGCAGGACTATAAAAGAGAAATGTCTCTGGTTCGGATGTGATACACTTAAAGATATGATATTAAGGTTGANTAGGGAATGAGTCCTTACCCCAAGTGAAGGAGTTCAAGTATCTCGGGGTCTTGTTCTCGAGTGAGGGAACAATGGAGCGTGAGATGGGCCGGAGAATCGGAGCAGCGGGAGCGGTACTGCAGTCGCTTTACCGCACCGTTGTGACGAAAGGGGAGCTGAGCCAGAAGGAAAAGCTCTCTGTCTACCGGGCCATTTTCGTTCCTACCCTCAACTATTTTGGATATAGGCTTCCGTAAGACACGCATTCAATCGATTCAACATCAAAGCACTGCCAGTACTATAGTTTGGACTCACTTGCTATGAGAGAACTATTTATGAATTGCTGCTCATTTCCTTGTATAAAGATGTACTAGTAAACATCATTTTAAAAGAGCTTTTCCAAATTATTTTTGAACTTAAAATCATGCATCCAGACTCAATTTACAAGTGAGCAGTGTTAGTGAGGAGTCCTCATTGAAGCTTTTTCTTATTAGCCTGTGGCAGCCTGTTTATGCTGACTTGTGCTCTATTCCAAGTCAAGAATCTCCTCAGCTCAATTGCCATGTTTTGAAACGCCTCTTCAAAAACCACTGATCCCTAATTATTTATCGCTCTCTTTCTCAGCCCACAGCTAGGAGAGCTGAGAAGGAGCCCTCCCTCCCGCAGGTTAGAGGAAAGGGGCTGTCTAATTACTGTGGTTTGTGTCAGATCCCTGCAAATAAAGTCTAACAGGAACTTGTTTCTTCTCCTGGTGCAAGAGGAACTCCGTTGTACTCAGTCTATTTCTGATATAACCTCTGAGGACTTTATTTTTCTCCCTCACTCGTTCCAAGTCCCTCTCACACATTCTCTGACACACATTCCTGCTTTTCTTTTCTTGTTCTTTCATTTGATTTTCTTTTACACTCCTGCTCTCTTGATTTCAAAATTCCCTTGTGCACAGAGACATACATACGCACACTCTGCCCCCGCTGCCTCCACATTTCTCAAATCTTTTCATAACCTCATTTACATAAGGGAAGTTGTGTTTCAGGAAGTTAGTTTGAAACCCCCTCGGTATTTCCATTCCCTTTGAAACCGATTATGTAACACCTAATGCAAGTTTGTTGACAAGTATGTATGTCATATAAAATGTATCAGTTTTGTTGATGCCTTATGTGAGAGTTTAATCTTATTCATATTTACAGTAAGGCTAAATCGTTTTCATCATCGTGGTGACACGTCGGAGCGATCTTTTCGGATTGATGAAACATTTTGTGATCTATGTGTCTTTAAAGCTTTGTAGTAAGGATCAGGGGATTTCCCATATTATTAAAAGAGGACTGTATTTTTACAATAATTACCTGCAACCCTGAATACATAAACTCTTTAAAACCAAGTCTGGTGTGGCTTCATATTGTTGTAGATGGGAACCTCATTAGATGAAGTTTTGGGTTGACTTCATAATTCAGGGCAGGACTATTGTTGACTTGGGGCTGGTGTGTGGGAAGGCACATGCTGGGGGATTCACTTGACTCAGGGTAATAAAATAATCGCTTTCATGAGCTTTTGTTTCAGGAGACGGATAGGTTGAGCCGGGCGCTGGCGTTTGAAGCCTCGGATAATGCAGCCTTTTGCCGTGCTTCTGGCCCACTTCCTGGTTGAATATCTTATACGCATCTCTGAGTGTATGCAAGGCTGTACTGTACATAGATGGTTGTAGAGCAGCTATAAATAATTCAGTTGTGTTTCATCATTCACTCCCAACACCTTGGGTGCCATTATATTGGCTTGTTAATTTTTTTGCTCAACTTTTGTATCTCATATAAAAGCCAACATTAAAATAATGGCCAAGTAGGAATTATACGCCAGGGATGTTGCCTCCACAAGAAAACATTGAGGGGGTTGAAAGCAAGGCAAGGCACGTTTATTTATATACAGTAGCACCTTTCAACACAACGCAACTCAAAGTGCTTTATAAACAGGAAAAATATTAAAAGCATTAAGAAATAGTGAAGCAGAAACACATTATAAAATGGCATTTAAAAACACAACAAAAGTAAACATAAAACATGCTAATATATCAAATACATTGCAGTGTCAGATATGAAAAGTTCACATAAAAGCAGCAGCAGAAAGAAAAGTCTTCAGCCTGGATTTATAAGTAGTAAGAGTTGCAGTGGACCTGCAGGATTTTGGGAGTTTGTTCCAGATGTTTGGAGCATAATAACTGAACGCTGCTTCTCCATGTTTAGTTCTCACTCTGGGGACAGAAAGCTGACCCGTCCCAGAATACCTGAGGGATCTGGATGGTTCATAATGAAGCAGGAGAGCAGAAATGTATTTTGGCCCCAAGCCATTCATTGATTTATAAACCAGCAGCAGTATTTTTTAAATCAATTATTTGACAGACAGGATGCCGGTGTAAAGATCTGGAGTGATGTAATCCACTTTCTTTGTGTTTAGTGAAGCTTCAGGCATCATCTTTCTGAATTATCTGCTTTCTAATATATGTTTTAGTAAGATACCATTACAGTAGTCAACGTTACCTATACTACAACAGCTGTATATTAATTATAATGTTAATTTCCACTGCACTGATACATCAAGTCCTCTATTCAATTTGAACACATGTGATACTAATAGAGAATACAAATGTATGTGTCTTTATATTTTCAGGCTTTCATTGCCATGCACTTGCAATTAAGTGGCATTCAACTTGGTTTAGTCTGAGGTCATAAAGGTGAACACATTGGGAAAGTAGAAGCTTTTAATAATGTAATGCCACACAATGCTTTTAATTATGCATCTGCAGCAGAAAATGTCCCCTTCATAGTAAATAAGTAAATATTCCGTTGAACATATCACTTATGTGAACGTTTTGTAATTACAATGAGATGTAATTATAAAGTGTTTTTTGATTGGCTCTCATTTTGATATTTGTTTTTAAGAACATCAAACACTGTGATGGTAGACATTATAATAACATTATTTTTCATGTGTGAAATGTAACACAATAACATACAGTATGTCAATGATTCAATAAAATGCACCAAATGAACACAGAAAACGGTGGACAAAACTTAAACTACACAATATAAGACCATATTTAACAATAGGATGGGATCAGGGGTCTGAATAACTGAATTTAAGGCACATCTATTACCTCCAGGCACTAAATAGTAAATACATATCATTGTTACATAGGCGGCTCGTCTATCATGCTCCACAAGAATATCATGTCAAGGTTATTGGGTTCAAAGTATTGATCAACCTTCCTTACCAATTACCTTCCTTACCAATTATCTTCCTGAATAAATGATCACTCCCAGAGGACTAAACCATTGTAGGTATTCAACACCTCAACAATTGATAACCAAAGGGCAACATTGTCTACAGAGTGTCAGACCCTCTTAGCTTTCCAGAAATACTCTATATATCTGGCTTGCCCTGGCCCTCTTCACACACCGACTATACAATATACAGTGGGGCAAAAGAGTATTTAGTCAGCCTCCAATTGTGCAAGTTCTCCCACTTAAAAATATGAGAGACCTGTAATTTTCATCCTAGGTATACCTCAACTATGAGAGACAAAATGAGAAAAAAAAAATCCAGAAAATCACATTGGTCTGATTTTTAAAGACTTTATTTGCAAATTATGGTTGAAAATAAGTATTGTGGTCACAACAGAAAAACAAGATTTCTGGCTCTCACAGACCTGTAATTCTTTCTTTAAGAGCCTCCTCTGTCCTCCACTTGTTTAACCTGTATTAAATAGCACCTGTTTGAACTCGTTATCAGTATGAAGAAAGACACCTGTCACACCTCAAACAGTCCCACACTCCAAACTCCACTATGGCAAGACTAAAGACGCTGTCAAAGGACACCAGAACAAAATTGGTAGGACCTGCACCAGGCGGGAGACTGATCTGCTAATAGTAAGCACGCAGCTGGTGTGTGAAGAAATCACCCGCGCGCGCACGCACTTTATTAGAAATGGAAGAATACAAGACGCACTGATAATTCCCTCGATCCTGGAGCTCAATGCAAGATTCTCCCCCGTGGGTCAAAGTCCACCAGCACACGGTGCCGGCCCACACATCCAGAACACCGGGGGACCTAGTCAATGACTGCAGCACGCTCGGG